CTCTTTGGGTTTCAGAACCTCCTGAGTCTCTCGGCTGCTAGTCTGTCTTCACGTTGAACTCCTCTTGCCTCCAGAGGGCACTTGTTTCATCGATTCTAAGACTTGCTCTTTCTCACGTTAACATCTCTGAAATCTGAACTCAGCTGAGTCAGCGGTGTGTCAGTGTCGTCAGTAGCCTGTATGTCTTACTTAAATGGCGTGTCTTAAAATGGATGACTTCTTAGATTCAATAAACAGTAAACCTTTCTAAAATATATCAAGAATTTTTAGTCACTTCCCACTTCTTAATCTAAATTCAAATCCTTTATTCTCTCAGACACCATTTCTGTGACCTGACTCCAGCTTCTTCATCTCCAGCCTCCTTTCTGCCCGTCTCCTACTACATCTCTTCTGTGGTCACCCCAGATTACTGGGGTCCCCGGCCACAAGCTCAGACCCTCTGTGCTGTGTGCTCACTCTCTTCATCTTGGGAGACAGCTCAGGGGCACCACTGTGGCAGTGATTCGCAGCCTGCTTTCTCGCATCCTGCCCACCTGTCCCTGCTCCTCAGGCTGAACTGGACCCTGTTCCTTATTCTCACAACTGTAGTCATTCTGCTTCTAATGATCAGAAACCTTTGTAAGGGCAGAGACCACTGCTCGTCTCATCTCTGTGTCTGACGTGCACTGTGTGCTCAGGAAATGTCTAAACGGAGATGACTAGAGCGTGGAGATCTAACTTCTGGAGGGATTAGGCTTATAAAATCCTGGTATTTTGTATCCCTTTCCAGGAGGTGCCTGCCTTTCCACTGCTCATACTGACTTAGCCTTGTGCTGGGCCTGCTGGCCTCAAGTTTCTAAATAAAGCAGGCCACATTTTTGGGGGGACTTCAACACTACTTAGTCCCATGAGTAATGAGATGTGGGACACCTGCTTGATTTTTTTTTTTCTTTCATTTTCTCTGTCTCCCTCTGAAATGTGGCATAGGATATGTTTTGAAATACAGAGTTTATTTCATGGTCTCCTGGTTATCGTACTTGAGGGAAAGGTAATAAAACTGTCCTCGCCGTGGGCTTGTGTCTCTTTAATCACAGTGCATTTCTTAGCCCCCTGTGACCTGGGGGAGATAGCATGGTCTGGTGGAAGGACTTGGCTGTGGAGGCTCATATCCTATCCAACTGCTCATGGCAGTGGTCTTGGGTAAGTTATTTAACCTTTCCCAGTTTTAGTCTCCCCACCTATAAAACAGTATCCAGCAGGATGAGACAGCTTATATACTGAGCCTTTAAAATAGTGCCTGGAGCCTAGTGGGCTCTCAAAGTTTATTTGCCTCAAATCCTTATCACCTCCAAACAACACACTCACTCTTTTCTCCCCCTCTGGAAAGCTAAATTTTTAACTCTTATTAATCTTGTGGAACTGTCAGATTACACCAAACAAGGGGATTATAAAACCCAAGTAAATTTTGTTTCTATTGGCTCAAGACTATAAACTTCATGTGAGGATTCTTCTAGTTGCTGCGTGTGTCTACTCCAATGATACATCCTGAAACTGGGGAAATAACTGCAGGGTGGCTTCAGTGACCCGGTGGACCCACTATGAGGTAGACCTGAGCTAAAACTCCATTGGTCACCTGACCTCCATAACCATAAGGCCCTACTCTGACTGGTAGACCACAGTGACGTTTGGGTGTCCGGGAATTAGTGTCATTTCAGAACCAGTGTGAAAGTTTGTCCACTTTCCCTTCCCCAGTGCACAGTCACCTTGGTAAATTATAAGACTAGAACCTTGGCTGGTCAGAAGAGGGCAGTTAACTGGGAAATCAGGCAAGCGTAAGGTAGGTTGGCATTCAAGCTGGGCCCTAAGGTGCACATTCAGACACACCTGCAGAGATTTGGGGAGAAGGGTCTCTTTTTAGGTGGAGATCACTTCAAATAAAAGTCGCCTGATCTGGCTAGAACATGAGTTTTGGCTGTTACAGCCTGAGAAGTGTGATGTAATCATCCATGTTCGTTTTCTGACTTCAGTTTCATGTTTTGCCTAACGTGTGAGACCTTTATCCTGTGCCCCACAGCGCTGGGGTTATTGAAATCGGTGACTTCCTAGGACTCAACTGAGGTCCGGTGGGAATGATGATGTTAGTGATGGTCAGGATGTCGTTCCCCCAAAGTATCTTACACTCAGCAAAATGTATTTCATGCCTGTGACTTAGCTCACGGTTAAGTAGATTAGAAGACTGAGGCTCAGAGAGGTTCAGGGACTTGCCCAAGATTCTAGCCATCTTTCCGTCATACCCCAGTCTCCCCAAGTTTTCCTTTGAACTAAGACACCACACAGTAAGCCAGTGGGCAGAGTGGAGGTCTACACCCACACTCCTTGCCTCTGGTCTGCACTCTTCCTGTTACTTCATCCTGGCTGGCTGCTTGGCAGAAATGCATCCAGTGCCACCTCCTCTCCCTCCATCCTGCTGCGAGCTAACAGAGAGGTCCAGGTACGCAGTCTGCCTGAAGGAAAGGACCGGAGTTCTCCCATGCCGCTTATGTTTTTAAGTGGCAGCCGGGGACTCCTGTGTGAACACAGACAGGTGCTGCAGCTTCTCATGAAACAAGCCCAAGGCCCTGCCTGTGCAAAGTCCTTTCTGTCTCAGGGACTAGTGGCTGCGTTCCCCAGTCTTCCCTGCGGTCGTGCTCGCTGATGCTGTTTCTGACTCTGAGAATGCCTCTTCCCTGTCTAGGGCTTTCCTCTGCACAGACAGCCCCTCCTTGAGCATCTGCTGGGCTTAGCCCATCCCCCTGAGCAAGCTCTTAGTCCCGGGCCGTCTGCCTCACTCACTCACTGACTCAGCGCACTTTTTACCCTTTTTCTCTTTCCCTGGATTCTCATAACCTGGACTCACATTGTCATCTGTTTTGCAGACTTGTTTTCTTTTTACTTCAGTTGCCGTAGTTACCAACTTTGTATATAAAATCATCATTCCCCACCCTTTATTTCCTAACTGTTTCAGTGAAAAAGTTTCAGTTTTTGGATGTGGCCTTTGCAGAAGGAATTTGATGGCTTGTTAATCGTTTCCTTTCTGGCTCTCCCACCAGCAAATATTTCTTGCCCTCCTTTTTATGGGTCTTGACTCTGGAGTCTAGACTGATTCGGGCGTCAGATCACTGCTTCATTTTGCAGTGTTTTAGGTAAAGAGTCTCAGCCCAGTAGAGCCAGTGACCTAGAAAGAGGATTATGAGATGGGAAACAACTGATTCAAAAAAAAAAAACCACAAAAACCATCTGCCCTAAACTGGTTCTACCTGTATTACTTTGATTGTGAATAATATAAACAAATTATATAATTACAGGGGAAGTGAAGTCTGTCAGTTGGTGGTCAAAAACCTAAAGCTTTGGCCTTGTCCATCTAGACATCTTCTTGCCTCGACCTAGAATTCCCAAACCACGGCCTTTGATAGACTGTGTGCCTTGGTAATTTTGGGGCCATTTGGGTTAGCAGGGTATCATCCACATCACCAGTTCTCTTTGTAATAGAGTAAATGACTGGTAAAAGTCGTATACTGGCAGAGGCTGTATGAAGAGGTGCAGCCCTCGTTTTTGGTAGAATGGAGACGCCATAATGGGGATCAGAGGACTTTTCTTCAAGCCCTGGCTCAGTCATGAATGATTCAGGTGACCACCCAGGGCAGGCCTAGCCACTTCATCAGCAAGATAAGACATCTGCCTACTTAGGCTTAGCTTTTTGAGGTACTTATAGTCACCAAATAACTTCATGTAAGGGCTCAATGTGCCATTCATTGTTTTATAAAGAATATTGGGATTTGTTTGGACATGCCAATCGCTAGCTTTCCTGGAGTTTCTGTGCTTCAAAAGGAAAGACTTGGAAAGGCAGAGCTGGAGTTTGAAGCCCACACAACTTGATTTCACCTTACACATCACTTCGGACTCCAGGGTTCCCACCAGTTCCTCTTGACACTTCTCTGATCCATGCCGCGTTCCTGTGTTGTGTTGTCCGTTCCGTCTCTCAGCCTGCTTGCTTCTCCCTGCGGGTCTGCTGCCTGTCCTTGAGGGGTGATGCAAGTCCTGCCCCTTCTGGCTTCTTGAGATCTGGCAACTCCTGCCCACCCTTCAGTGGTCATAAAACTTGACCGTGGTGCAGATGCACAGCTTATGATGCTTGCTGTTTTAAACACCGGTTATCTCCTTGAAACTAAGCTTCATAGAGACAGGCGTGTTATGTACCTAACTTGTGCTAGGCGTATGGTAGACTAACAGAAAATACTGATGAGTTGGAGTGTGCCTCTGGAATAAAATTGTAGTGCCATTCTAGATGCATTGCCAAGAACCATTATACAAGTCAGGGAAGAAGGGAGGGGGAAGGTCATTTACCTGGCGTGGAGTAGCAGACATTTGATGGTCCTCTCACATGCTTTCCCTTGTCCCATCAGCAGCCCTGGGAGGTATGGGAGGTATGGTGCTGCCTATTTGGAGACAGTATATAATGAAACACAATGGCTACCATCAGACGGATTTGAGTGTCTTAACTCTAAGTCTCTGTGAACCTCAGGTTCTTCATTTTATAAGATGGGCTATTTCCTCCTACTCTGAAGGTGGTGGTAAATATTAAATTGAATGTCAAGTGCCAGTGTAGACACTCCGTAAGTGGTGACGTGGCCATTTACAGGTGAAGAAGAGGAAGTAGAAACTTGGAAAGGTGAACTAAGTTGGCTCCTGGGTATTCAACAGGTCAGCAGTAAACCAGAGTAGCTACCCAGGCACTCTTAATTCTAAACCCAGGTCTTGCTGCCGGTCCCTGCAGCCTGTGTCATACCTTATTTGTTATCCCTTGACTCATGTGAGTAGAGATGGGCCTACTTGTGTAGAGTTGGCTCAGTGCCAGATGTGCTGGTCTTGGATTGGAGCAGTTGTCACCACTGTCACTTACTATAATATGCATTCGTGTAGTCTAAAAATGGTATGAATGTGTCCGTCTCACTCAAGCTCATTCCAGTCTTCCTTTGATTTAGGAGAAAGGATCCTGGGTTATGCTGAAGAGCCCTGCTATCTCTGGTTTGTCATGGAGTTCTGTGAAGGTGGAGACCTGAATCAGTACGTCCTGTCCCGGAGGCCAGACCCAGCCACCAACAAAAGCTTCATGCTACAGCTCACAAGCGCCATTGCCTTCCTGCACAAAAACCACATCGTGCACAGGGACCTAAAGCCAGACAACATCCTCATCACGGAGCGGTCTGGCACCCCTATTCTTAAGGTGGCAGACTTTGGACTAAGCAAGGTCTGTGCTGGACTGGCCCCCCGAGGCAAAGAGGGCAATCAAGACAACAAAAATGTGAATGTGAATAAATACTGGCTGTCCTCAGCCTGCGGCTCAGACTTCTACATGGCCCCTGAAGTCTGGGAGGGACACTACACAGCCAAGGCTGACATCTTTGCCCTGGGCATTATCATCTGGGCAATGATAGAAAGAATCACTTTCATTGACTCTGAGACCAAGAAGGAGCTCCTGGGGACCTATATCAAACAGGGGACCGAGATCGTCCCTGTTGGTGAGGCGCTGCTAGAAAACCCAAAGATGGAGTTGCATATCCCCCAGAAACGCAGGACTTCCATGTCTGAGGGGATCAAGCAGCTCTTGAAAGACATGTTAGCTGCTAACCCGCAGGACCGGCCTGATGCCTTTGAACTTGAAACCAGAATGGACCAGGTCACATGTGCTGCTTAAAATTCAGGGCAAAGCATCTTGGGTGTTTTTAAACTAGGTGAGTGTACTTTTTGTTCTGCATACACACTTCCTGGACTGGATTCTTCATCCTGGGCCCTGGGATGGCCCCTTTGGAGTTGGGGGAAATGCAGAGTTGAAGAGAACTAAGTACTTGTTATTAAAGATCTCCCCACGTGTCAATGAGGAAGATATGTGGGATTATTTGAGTTTATGAGTTGGAAAGTCTAGAGAAGTTTTGAGTGGACATTGCATTTGAGTTGAGTCTCTTAAGTTTTTTAGAAATGCCTTTTTTCATCAATTAATAAATGTTTACTGTAGAAAATGTGCAAAAGAGGTACGGACGATTTTTTTCAGAGAAAAAAAACGCTGTCCCTAATCGTCTCCTTCCTACTCACACATCCAATTCTACGTGTTTAGATTATGCTATAGTTAGGTATAGTTTTATTTCCTGTTCTTTCACTCGACACTAATCTGAGCATTTCCTCATGTCATACTTTGAAAGTATGGCTATCAATAATTGACATTCCGTTATATGTGCCATAATGTAACCATTCTCCTACTTTAGATATCAGATGGTTTCTCCATTTTAGATACCATAAAAGATGTGACTGAATATTATATGGGAATCTTTGCTTATTTAACAGATTTAATGTGGGCTTTTGTTTGTCAAGTACTGTGCTAGGCTCTGGGGTAACAATGGTAAGCAAAATCAGAAACTTGCCCCATCATCAATTCTTCAGCTTCGTCGGGGAGAGAAACAGTAATCAGTGTCTACCATAGTTGCTTTACAATGAGGGAGAAGAGGTATTAAGGAAAATTGACCTTTCGGGGGATGGTGCCCGGAGGCAAGAGTAGGGAATTGGGAGTAGTGAGGGACATTCCAGGTAAAAGGACCAGCCTCTACGAAGGACCTGAAGCCAGAGGGAACCTCGCACCTTTGAGAGACTGCACCAATTTGGGTTAGTGAAGAATGTAGACAAGTGGTAATCGGGGAGGATAGTGACCTGCCAGGAGAGTGGACAGAGCTGAAGTGCAAAATCCAGAAGTGTGTACCAGGAACAGCAGGAGTCGTTGAGTTAGACCAGAGTCTGTGGTGTGAGCAAAAGAAATAAGATCAGAAATAAGGTGAAACATGGGGCACTGGAATTTGACCTTGACTTAGTATGCATTTGGGAGCCATCTGCGAAACAATGCAGCATTAAGAACTTGAGCATTGGGGCCGGCCTGGTGGCACGAGCGGTTAAGTGCGCGCGCTCCCCCAAGGTGGCCCGGGGTTCGCTGGTTCAGATCCCGGGCGCACACCGACTCGCTGCTTGTCAGGCCATGCTGTGGCAGACGACCCATATAAAGTGGAGGAAGATGGGCATGGATGTTAGCCCAGGGCCAGTCTTCCTCAGCAAAAAAAAAAAAAAAAAAAAAGATTGGCAGATGTTAGCTCAGGGCTGATCTTCCTCACAAAAGAAAAAAAAAGAATTTTAGCATTTGCAAGTTGAATTGAACAAAAGACTGGAGACTGGGAGACCAGTTGGACCAATTATTTTCTTCACACTAGAACGGGATGTTGTTGAACTTGTGAGTAGCAATGAGGATAGAGGAGTGCCTGGGTCTTCAGGGCAGAGAATTGGCAAGACAACTGGCCGGATATGGAAGTAGAAGAAAGAAAGTAATAGATATTGGGAGATTAATGGCAGTAGACACAAATGCTGGCTAGTCTATTGGTCAGATCTGAATTATTTTCCTTAGCAGAAATCCCAGCCTTGTTTTGTGGAAAGGGGAGAGAAAAGAACATTGACTATCATATATGCTAGGTATTTTCACATGTACCATTTTGTTTCACCTTTGCAACCCTGCAGGTGTTAAGTCATTTACCCAATATCCTATTAATTTAAGGGCAGGATATCTTACTCACACCCTCCCTTCTCCCTCCTTTTTTCTCAGTGTCACTATGGCAAGCTGGAAATATGCTACTTTTATATTTCGCTGAAGCCTTGAGATAAGGTGTTGGGGGGTGGTGCTGATCCCAGTGGTCACAAGGAAGGGGCCTCTACATATGGTGTGCCCCTGGGTGGGTTCTTAGTCTCTTCTTTTGCCTTCATTACCCTCAGATTTCTTTTTTTTTTTTTTTT